ATGGACAGAGACGCAGCAAGACGCTTTCCAGCGCATAAAAGGCCTGATCGATACTGCCCCCGTCTTGGCTAGGCCAGACTTTACGGCTCCATTTATTATAGAATGTGACGCCAGCGATACCGGATTAGGCAGTGTACTCTTGCAGCACGTCGGAGGCGAAGACAGAGTACTTTGCTACGCCAGTCGAGCACTCAGTGCCACCGAGCGAAGGCTTTCGGTCACAGAAAGGGAGTGCCTCGCTGTAATATGGGCAGTCAAAAAGTTCAGACCGTATATAGAAGGCTATCACTTTACAGTGATAACTGATCATCACAGTCTAAAATGGTTGCGGAACCTAAAACATCCGAACGGCAAGCTAGGGTGATGGTCACTGAGCCGACAATCCTACAGCTTCGACATCATACATAGAAGAGGAAAATACAACGTAGTTCCAGACGCCTTGTCGCGAATGTACGAAGAGGATGAAGAAACTACTATCGCTTGCTTAGCTTCGCTTAAAGCGCCTCCGCGAGTCAAGGACCCGTGGTACTTGAAATGGGTGCAAAAACTTCAAGAAAACCCCACTAAACACCCATATTGGAAGTATATAGGAGACAAGTTATATATTTATAAACCAGACGTTATCGTGGACGATTTGATGGGTACAGATGAAGAGGCTTGGAAGCTAGTGCTTCCACGAGAACAGAGAACTCAAGTCTTATCAGAGTGTCATGATAGTCTTACCGCAGGACATCTAGGGCGCTATAAGACGCAAAAGCAAGCCGCGCTTAAATACTATTGGCCTGGCATACACAGAGATGTAGCACACTACGTTCGTAACTGCCTCGTTTGCCAACAGACTAAAGTGGAGCAAGTTGCTCCAGCAGGACTGATGGGACGGCACCTAGTCACACGGCCATGGGAAATCGTGGAGGGCGACACTATGGGCCCTTTTCCTAAGTCAGCGCAAGGCTATGAACATCTATTAATCTTCATCGACCTCTTCACTCGCTGGATTGAGTGTATCCCGCTACGCAAAGCCAACGGGAGAGCGATTAGACGCGAGTTCAAGGAGCGGGTATTTCTACGATTTGGAGTGCCCGATAAGTTTTTATCGGACAATGGGACTCTGTTCAAAAACAAATTGGTAGACGAGTTCTTGGACTCGTTCGGCGTTATCCACGGCACGTGTGCGCCGTACTCGCCGAAGAGCAACCCAACCGAGAGAGTGAACCGCACGATAAAAACCATGATCAGCGCGTTCATCCAAGAAAATCATGCTACTTGGGATGCTCACATCACGGAATTTGCCTTTGCGTATAACACGGCTATCCACGAAGCGACGCGCGCTAGCCCAGCTTTTCTCAATTACGGACGACATCCCGACCCTCCTCACTCTAAGAAGAGAGCGGAAGATAGAGACATGATCCGAAACCTCGAAGCCACCGCCATAGAGAATTGGCACGCGAGGATGGATAAACTAGGAGACTTTCGCGCGGTAGCACTTGAAAATACGCGAATGGCGCAAGACCGCCAAGAAAAATATTACAACGTCAAGCGAAGGGATGTAGAATATCGCGTCGGAGACAAAGTATGGGCCAAAAACCGCCTGCTTTCCTCGGCCGCAATGAAAATCGCTGCAAAACTAAGCCCGAAATTCGCAGGACCTTTTGTCATTACGGCCCGCGTAGGAATGAACTCTTACCAGCTTATACTGAAGAAGATACTAACATAGGCAAGGTAGCCGTTTGCGATTTACGCCCTTGTCACGACGACGAGCAATGTCCAAAAACTGACGAGACGGAGGAATGCGAGTCTAACGTGGAAGGCTTGGACCTCGATAATTTGTTCGCACGAATCCCTAAAAGCGACGAGAGCAACGAGCAAAATTAAAAGGAGTTGGCCGATAGTGAACTAACCTCCGGCTGAGAACCCTTAACAAAAAGAAGGCGTAGCCGACCAAAGGGGAAAAAGAAACTTTCTCCACCGACGGTCCCACCGTCGCCAAGGCGGCTTCGCTCAAGACAACACTAACCTTTGCGTTGCTACCCCCTCTCTGCTTCTACGCTTTTAGCTGCCTCCTAACTAATCTACTGCTAACCTTTCTACGCTTATGTACTATTCCCGGACTGAATGCCAGCAAATAAGAAAAAAAAAACCATCTTCTTACTTATATTGACTCCTACAGATGGACACTACATCGGACGTTTCAGCGGTGAAAAGCCAAGAGGAGTTCCAGGAGCTCCAAGTGCTTACCGTCGCTTCGATGGAAGACGAGGCGGTCCCAGCAGATATTCAGCCCGAGGAACCGGAAGCGGCCAGCGTTGAAGAACCACATCAAGCGACAGCCCCACTGGACGTGGAGACTCCCGATACCGAGGAACCAGAGCAGGAAGCGGAGGAGCCCTCCGCTACTCCACAGGAAAGGACGGAGCCGACCATCAGCGACAGCGCTTCAGCGACGTCACCCAGCGATTCCAGAGATCACGACGAGCCACCCTCAGGCGAGGTTTATGGACCATTAGCGCTGGGAGACACCTGGAAGGAAATGCTGCAGCGTGTCAAGGCCGCTCGCACGGCCCGGATGGTGGCAAACGCCGAAGAGACAGCGACCTTCGGCGAGGCCATGAAATTCATCCAGGCCGCAGGCGCCGAAGGGAAACGCTTGGCAGGGGACTACGCCGATAAAATTCAGCGTGAGCTAGACCTAAAGGCGTACCTCGCTCGCCAACGAACCGATTTGCTCAGGCGCCGCCTCGTCGAGGAGGAGAAACGCGTGCTGGCGGAGGCGGTTGACGCTAGACTGCGAGAGGTAGAGAACCTGAGGGCTCAGATGAGGATGCTGGAACGCTCGGCCGATGACCCCTACCACTGGGTACCCCGACTCCAAGGGACCGGTCACCAGTGGGATGAGGAGTCCACTGCTTCCACGTCACCGCCTCGACCGCACTCGCCTTCTCCGATGGTGATCGCCCCGCATCCATCCAGACCAAGGTCTAGACCAAGCGATTTCGCTGAGGGGCCGAGACGGCCACCCGGATACCTTGCTCTACAGCACACCAACCGCACGAAGCCGTGTGGCAAGTGGGACGGGCGACGACGAGACCTGGTGGGCACGCGTTTCTGCAACCTGTGCCACCTCACCGGTGTCTCAAGGTCTACCGACTACCCCAATTTTCAGATCCATCCGAGATAGTTATCGGGACAGCTTGAGGCTTATGCCTACACGGACGCCGAGCTCCGCGCCCGTAGAGGATCGCGATAAGTGAACACGCTTAAGCGACAACGCGTTTGTGTGATTTCGCTCTTCCTGTTCCCATTCACCTATCTAGATACCGTTACCAAGATTGTTACGCGAGCGTGCGTAATCCCTAGTAAGGAGGCAACGCCTCCAATCAAAGAAAAAAAAATATTGTAAATTTTTTTTGTTACTGTATAAGGAATAAAATTGTAAGGGGAGAAAATTTTTTTAAAAAAATTTAAAAAAAAAAAATATTCTTCTTTGTCGTTCCACATATCTTCCCATTATGCTTCCTTACTATAACGACAGATTGCCTTACTTTTCTTTTGAGGATGCATGAGTTCTCCTTGGAAAAAGGAAACGTCTAAAGAGAGAGACCAGGTTTCGAGCTGGTACCCCCCTGGCAACCAGCGTCTGGGGGAGGGGCATATAACGAGTCACATTCTCGTTACGTCTCTCTCTCCCTGCGGCCAGTTTGTTTATTAATCATATTTACACTTTACCATGCATTATAATAATTTATAATTTGTAGCGCAGTTGAAATGTCAGCGAACAAGGTAAGAGTCGAGTCCTACGATCTATACTATCGATAGTCCCTAGCGCGGATGTCGCGGAGGAACCGCGATCGCGAAGGAGAGAGAGAAGGAGAGCGCGCAATGAGTCAGTTGGCATGCGAGCAGAGACAAGTACGGACGCTAGCATAGTTTGACAGTAACACCCTTTTCCTTTTGCGTTACGAGAGATCTCGAGGGAGTAAGCGAGTACGCAGTGGCGATTATACGAGTCCAAAGATCGCCAGCGATAAGCGAAGGCGCATAGCTTATGTTGACAGGAATTCCGTCAGCTATAAGGCTAGGAAGCGAGAACGCCCGCGCGAGTGTAGGGCAGGAGTAAGCGTGGTCGCGATCTACTGTTCGTGCGTTGCTGCCGTTGTAATAACCGACGACAACTACTGTAAGTACCTAGTCGATTCTCTCTCTCTCTTAGGCTCTCTCTCTCTCCTATTGCTTGCTAACTGCATTTGTCGCTTTAGTTTTTCGCCCGGCTTACGCACTCTGTCATTCTGCTCGCCATTGCGTCCTGCCTCGAGCCGCTTTAAGCAAATTCGTTGTCCGATCTTGTTCGGTTGCTGACAAGATCGGCGCACTGCGTTGCGTCGTGGCCTTGTTCGCTGCCGCTCACATTTCGCCACCACGCGCGCTTGTATGTATTCGTAAGTGCCTGAAATACAAGATTCGTTTCTACCAAAATCCGCAGCAACTTATTCCGATACACCTGCCCTGTTGTATAACTACTTCGCCGCGAGACTCTTTAGGTTGTCCCTCACCAAGTAACCTGTGGCTCACGACACTCTTCGCGGGCCGAATTTCTACGTAAGGAAGGAGGCAAGCTGATGCGGCTGGACCCAAGCACTGTTCGCACTGGGGCACAGGGTTGTCTTGGATAGCGCACTTCGCTTTGTTAAAATATTAATCCGCGAGAACTATTTATTATATAACTGATTTAGCCCGGAAAGAGCACTAGCTAAAACCCCGTTATAGAGTACAACTTGTAAGTTAATTATTATTGGAAGACCCATCAAAGAGTCTCTAAAATCATGAATTCTTTGAGCAAGATGGCAATATAGTATGTTTGTCTGCTGTATTAAATGTAATTCGAATAAGTTTTAATGCATTTCTTTTTAAAAACAAGTTTTACTGTTAGTCATATAGATATTAGTAGTGGTTCTATATTACAAGACTCTTTCTAAAAATTTGAACATAAATAATTAATTACTTACCACTACTTTGTTACAAAGCTCAAATCTATCGTCCCTTTTCACCAGTGATTCAAACATTTTCGCCAGTTTTATATGATTGCGAATGTACGATTGAAGACCTGATATGCCGTATTTCCTTATAACGCACCATAATTTTAGAGATCGAAACCTTCGGCTCAATGGTATACTCCAATGTCTTAAAAAAAATAAGAACAATAAAATTATTTAACAAGTTACTTTCTGCAAAATGATAAGATGCATTTCAAATGAATTCAACAAAATTGATAGATTCCATTCTTCAAATTTTTAAGATGTAAATGTAAGATTTCATGGAACATGTAGTTATTTATAGAATAATATTATTAATAGAATGCATTATTAATAAAATGGGTTTATTAATTGAATGGATCACGCAGAATCAGCGACATTGTTCTGTAGAAAAAAGCGTAGAGTTATTTAAGCAAAAGTTGGTGTGGATATACCCGTAGTCTGCTGGCAGCAGACTACGGGAGCACAGCGAATACACACACGCTCATGGTCCGCACACGATTGACCTCACGCGCTCCGGGAAGCGACAGGAACAGCAGCAACGTGGCGCGAAGCGAACGCTAAAGTGGAGCAGCGACCATATTAGATCGCGACCGATAAAAGAGTGGCTGAGCGCGAGAGAAGGGCATTCGAACGCATGAGTGCGAGTGAGGTGACAGATAATAGAGTGACGGAGCGTCAGAGGGAATGAGGTAGGGCACGCGTATGAGCGAGATAGGTACTATCGATACTCTCGTAGGAGAGATCGGTAGGACTGAGGAGCGCACACAAGAAAAGGATAGATGATAACGACGGGAAACTGACCAACGCGTGCGACTTGACCGACCAATCACAAATAGGATAGGGGTATGCTAACGAATAGGATAAAACCGACGCTACTTAACGGACTAGTAATAAAATTGCGCGGGTTAAAAAGCTATAATAGAGGAAACTGACGATCGGCTTGATGACATTTTCGTCCAATCAAATAAGAACTCGTAGGGGGTAAAGGGAGGTAATCGAGAAGACGCCAAACGACGTCGCACAAGCCGCGTGCTGCTCCCCTGGAAGCCGCAGCCGAGGACGGACGCAATCCAAGTGAATCAGTGTTAAGTGCTAATTGAGAACGTGGAAGAGACAAAAGGACGATAGCCTTACAGACCTGACCTTCACGACACCCATAAGTACATCTTACGTTTGAATCGCGAACGGGAGTGCGCGAAACAACTTCGGTCTCGCGGACCCAATTCGTTTCGATTAACTCACGACTGATCTAAGGTGTATGAATACAGTCGCCTTTGTTTTGAAGTATTTCTCTGACCAACCAACGACCTGACCTGGGTATATCGCAAGTGCGGGCTGCGATCGCGTTGTGGTGTGCTTAATTAGGAACGACTCATATGCTGCAAATGGGGATAGCGTCGACGTGGATAATCAAGTTGATCCGCGTCGTCTAAAATAGAGTAGAATAAATTGGCATTGGGTAGAATAATAGATTAGGTATCGAGATAATAGGAATTCACAGTAGCTTGACCTTGGGCGAGAACAATAGCATGAGGATAGTTAGATGAGAACAATAGCTTGACGTTGGGCCGACTAGTAAAATAACGATCCTGATACTTTCAATAGTATTTTGTTGCGCAATGAAAGGGAGGTACACCTACCCTACGGTGCAATTATGATGATCAGCCGTAACTGTTGAAGAGATTCAACGATGCTCCTCAAATCAGCTTCACTGTCTCACTCACTGAACAATTGCTGCTCACTCCAACAAATGCTGCTGTTGAACTCCTGCTGCTGTGATGCTGCTTACTATCACTCGCGAACGTCCAACAATCCAGGAAAACTTTGTATCAGCGAAAACGACGAAAAACTATGCAAACTAAATTGGCGGTATGCTCTAGAAAGCAGCTGAGGCTTAACTGACTATTTTCAAACTCTCGTGCGCCCTCTCTCTCTCTCTATTAGTCAATCGTCTGAACATCGCCATGAGTGTACCGAATCGCGGTGGCATAGCTGAACTTCGATAACTATTCCGAATAGCAAAATAATCCAATAGGGTTCAATTTGCTTAAATAAATACATTAAAAAAAAAATCTATTCCGAAGCTTTCCTCTGGCATAATTGAACTCCCAAGGTATGTAACATATGGGCCGACGGAAAGATATATAGAGGTGCAACCGGCAATAAAGTAATAAAAAATCTAATTATTTCGCCTTTTCGACTAACCTTTTAAATATAGACCAGCTGTTAGACAGTACAACTAAAATTGAGATAAAACCGATCAGTACCCTAACAACATAGGTAGAATAAAAAATAGTGGACTTGTCAATTTGGAGCTTTATTTGTATCAGCATTGCAATTTTATATTTAATTATAAGCTCTCTAATTATGTTAATTGTATATCGCTATGTCAACAAAAAACAAAGTAGAAGAGGCATAACAGTAAGCTACACATACGTATATACCAATGTCCAGATTAGATACCGGATTTAGATACGATTTTACAGGGCCACCGTTTTACGAGATACCTCGTATACATCCTAAAAAGGCTCATGACTATGATAATATGTTACCAACTCTATTAGAATCAACCCAGGATGAAGAACTAAAGGAAGATACGTCCGAACAATTAGGTATTGAAAGCTCAGAATCAATAAATACTAAAGAATAAATAAGTATACCTGTTGTTGTGGGAGTCAGCCAGCTAGTTGCAGTTTTAGCACTTATATGAAATATTTAGTTTTGCGGGGGAATGTTATCCATAGTATTAGGCCAGGTATGGGTAATAAAGTTTACTTAGTATGACTAAACTAGGTCGTGGATTGTAAAATGGTAATCATCCAGGAACATAAAAATAGAAAGAGGGAAGTAGGGAATTAAAAAAAATCAGTATTAAAACGAATGGAGCAAGAGGAAATTAGTTAGTCTATAGAAAACAACAGAGCAAGCAATTGATATAATTCAGTGAAAAATGTACGTTCAGTGTGTTTGCATCAAACTCATAAGTGAAAGAAGATTTTGCCACGGTTTCCTCTTTGACGAAGAAGGTGTTGTGCAACGAGACCCTCTAGGACTGTTTAAAACTAGTAAAAACTACTGTAGGACACCCGAACCATCCCATATTTATCGCTGGGGAGCTTGCTGTTGGTTGAACAAAACAGCAAATAAATACGGATACAAAGTGCAAATATTCCAGCCAACCAACATGTATGAATTAATCGGGGAAATACTATACAACAATTCATCGGAATTTCAAGAAATATGCAAGGAGAGTGTAAGGAAGATGGGATACTTACTGCTAGATCCAGTAATACCAGCACTCACAGTGGCATAACAACAAGCTAGAGGCAGACGGTTTACGTTAAGAAGCAATAATGAGATATTTCAATATCCTGAATAATCCACTCTACCAAAAGATAATTTATTCAGGAGCCAAAATTTGCTTTATTGTCCGTCTCAAACTGTCGATGAAAGTACTGATATCTGTTTCAGATCGATTATCGTAGTCTTAATACAGATAACCGACTCACCATTGGATATTGTGCAGTGTGTCAAGTACCGTTATTAGCAGTACGTGATTGTCGTTACTGCACGGCGTTACACTTAAGCAAACAGTATAAGGACGTGTTGGTGCAAATTTTAAAGTATCCCTTTGCAGAACATCGCAAGTCATTAGAAAATGATGACGAAAGGTGCCGGTTCCACCAACGAGGTAATGAATTAATTCAGGCGTGGAGTAGGCAAGTAGATCAGCTATTTTCAGAAAACAGTAACTATTGGCTAAATTTTAGTGAATAAATTTTTTTTTTGGAGGGCTATTTTTATATAAAAATAGAAATAAATAAATTATTATTAGAATGAATTTATACTGCAATTTCCCAGCAAAGTTCCTCCAAAAACGGTTGACAAACAATACGCTAAACTCGACACCTAGTGTTCGAATAAATTAAGTAGTATCTAGCAGTAGAAAAGGAGTAAAATTAGAATTTTATGGCTAGATTAGTGATTAAGTTCCCGGTTTGAAGGATAATGTAGAATAAAAAGGATTTAGTTGTTAGTGAGACATCATCGTTTCAACTGGTCTTGTGTCCGTGGCTCTACAAATTATAGTGCAACATGTTCGCGAGTAAAGTGTTGGAAAAGTTGGAGACTGCTTATGGAGAAATTCACGGATTTGTCATCACCGCAGAAGGGATCATAAGTGATCCCTTGAATTTATTTCAGAGCCCGGAACCATACGACAATGTAATCTTACCGGAGATGTATCGACGTGGAATCGTCATGCGGTTGAATAGTGAAGCAGTAAAGATGGGGCGACCATCCAGAGCAGGTAACCCTACTAATCAAGCCCAAGTCCTAGGTCAGATATGTTATGAAAACTGCGAGGACTATAGAAAGGCATCGGTGAGTTGCGCTTGCATGATGAGCTACGATTCTGCTCTTACTATTAGCACCTGGAACTGACGTAACTAACGAACAATTACAAATTATCATGAAAAGATGGGAATTAAGGTATGAAAACGATCAACAACAGTATGTAGAATATATTCCTCAACCACCTGAAGGATGTACTACAATGGAGATGTAAATATGGATAGATTATTTGGTTGCATATTTCCACGGAGAACGAATCGAACGCAGGAGGACTATGCAGAATTTGTCTATTTGCCTTATGGAGGTAGAGGATTTGCGGATTTGTTAACCTACGATAAATGTGTACAATGTTCTCGACCTTTACCTGTGTGGCGTTTCTGTAAGCTATGTATTTTTGAATACTTAAGCCACGAACCAAAGGATATTTTCCTCATCTGTTGGGGGTGCTGGTCAACTGCTCATCAGTACGCCCTTCAATCTGGAGAAAAGTGCAGCATGTGTAAACGCGTAAACATAGGAGAAGAAATTTTTTTAAGAAGACTAAATGTAGTGTGGAGAGATAGTTTTTTGCCTTACCAAAATTAAAGACTTTATGTTAAGTAGTGCTTCGAAGTTTCTCGTAAATGTATACGAGGTGTGTTCAAAAAGTAAGATGACTTTTCAAATTTCACGGGCAACGTACTTTCGATTATCGATTTTTTTATTTTGTTATGTTGGTACACTCTTCTCGAACATCTGTACCAAGTTTCAAGTGTATAGCATTTTTTGTTTGGTTGTGAGAGGCGTAAAGGT